CTGTTCCACAATCCACAGGAAAGGAAAGCCTGTCAGCAGGGGAAAAAGCCAGTCCAGTGTAATGCCTGAAAGCAGTGTCACCTTTTAAAGCTACAGGAACAGGACAGTGTGAATACATCTACACGCTCTGGGCCTACAAGGGAGAAGGCAGTCAGGTGCCATACCCGACTAGTTCTCCCTGGGATAGCATTTTTTATGTGTCTTGGAATCCCTTGCCGTGGGATACTCTCATGACAGCCAGGTGGATGAGGAGATTTTCATCTGAGGTCTGTTCAATGAGGGGACCAAGTGCTTCTAGTAAAGACTGTGTGCTGATTCTTTAAAAGACAAGAGCCACTCCTGAAAGAGTAGAGAAAGAGTCTAGGATCTATTTTTGTGCTTTTTGCTGAATTCTTGCCTTTTTTTGTACATAGGCAGTTGTCCTCCAGTTGTTTTGGTTCCATTGGTCATCCCATATACCCCTATACCCCATCCAAGTTGTTAACCCTCAATAAAACAACAAAAACAAGCTCACAGTACTGACTTTGGAAGCCAGAGTGGAAAAAGTGTATTGCTTGGCTGTGCAGAGCTTAGGGGACACAAAACTCAGCAGCTCCTACAGGGGGTGCTAAACACACATAACATAGTGACATGGGGTAGTTAACTCTCAGGGTGGATGCGTTTATACAGTGATCCATGGCAAACAGTGAGTCAATGGGCTGGTAGCCCATTTTTATTAACACGGCAGAAGAAAGCAAAACAACAGTCCAACACAAAGTTTTCCCCACACAGGGGATCTTCTCCAGCTTGAGCAGAATATGAACATCGGAAATTGCCAAGCCACCTGTCTCATAAGCTCACTCAGCTTCAATTGCAGTACCACGCTGTACCTTTTACCTCAGATTGTGTTGTCCAGCTCTCTTGGACACTTGGCTATCTAGCTCTTAGTCACAGCACCCTTCTGCATGGCCCACCTCTGGCCTACGGATTGGGGTACTCCTGACACCCTGATAGGAGCTGACCTGACTCCAGGAACTGAGAACTCTCTGACCCCTCGATGAGACCTTCCATCTCCCACACTGGGAGCGGTCTCCAAACTGGGAACCCTGAGCAAGGGGCGGACTGACCATTTAGAAACTCGGGCACTGCCCGAGGGCCAGTGGTCAGTAGGGGCCCCATGAGATGCCCCTGGTACCTTTTTCATAGGCTTTTTTGAGTCTGGGCAGGGACACAGGGGCCCCATGATCCTCTATTGCCCGGGGGCCCCATGAGTTGTCAGTCCACCCCTGCCCTGTGGTATCCTCAGACCTAAGGACACTGCACACCTGTGTACTTAACTAGGTTGCAGGCATCTAGCAAAACCCAGACACAGGATTGAATGTGCCAATCCAGAACTGTAAAATCCAGAGAAAACTAAATATACACTAGTCTGTAACGTCGTATTTAACTTGAATGCAAATCCTGTCACTTTCTCCTATATTTCACAGTGACAGAGCCTCGTCCTGTCACTAATATATATATATATATATATATATATATACATATATTATATATATATATATATATATATATATATATTATTATATTTACATTCCAACAACTTCTCAACAATGATATACAGTATAATGATCTAAAGAACATTTGCAGTCATAAGTGTCAAACATTCATGTAATTGAGCACAATGTCAATAAAAATTTTGGCATTTGCAAACATGTAAAAAAAGTTGCAGTTGTGCTAATTTGTACACTTGACAATCTAAATTAATTTTATTTGAATGTTCTGACAGCGATTTATGCAAATATTCTCTGGAATGTATAGCAGTGTAGTGTTAAAAGGGGAATAAAGCTGCCATAAAAATAAAATGCAATACTTTATTTTAAACTTTACAATTTTGTTATGTTACAAAAAAAATCACGCTTATGTGATAACTTTTCAATCAGCAGATGCTGATGGTTATATTTTTGGGATAAATATCTGGAGCTGTGCTAATATATATATTGTATTGGAAAGAATAACAAAAATTGTTTTTTTTTTTTCACTATTTCAGTATTTCTTCCTAATTAAAACTTAGAATATAATCCTATCTATCTGAAGAAAAATAATGTATGATATGATGGGGTAGACTTCAAAATCTAAAGGACTCAAGTGGTTAATATCAATATTTATTTTTGTCTGTAGAAAGCAACTATGAAAAGCCTTTTGCAGTGAATGGAAACTTTTGAACCTGGGAATATAACCTTGCTTCCTAAGTAGGAATAAGGAAAGATTATAACAAAAAATGGTGAAGCGCTATGCAAATGCAACAAATCAGTCTATATACACACAAATATAGGTGAATAAATATACATTAATAAGCAATAATTAAAACGTGAGACTCCAATCTTTTAAATAATATAGAGTGACATGTGCTTAAAACAGCAACACACTGTGCAAAAACAAGTGCCTGGTCTGCCAATCAAAATATAAACACACCAGGTTAAATGAAATATATACCCAAAATAGATATGTATACATAAATAATATTAACGTGAGACTCCAATCCTTGAAATAATACAAAGTCACCCGTGCTTAAAAACAGCAACACACTGTGTAAAAAATGCCTGGTCTGCCAAACAATATGTATACACACCAGGTAGAGTGAAATATATATCAAAAATTAGATATCCATTATTAATATATCAAGTGATAGGTGCAACAACACAAATGAAAAAAAAAAAATAAATAAACGACAATTGAATAAAATCGTTCAGTGTAAACATCGATAGTGACCAGTCCAACAAAAAGTGCTTCAATCAGCAGTGTCCTGAGGAAGCCACGTGTCCTATCATGGTGTAACGTGTAGAGAGCATGTGCAATTGTGATGCGGTACGGAATTTGCACAGAAAATGCTGAGAATTCCGCACTGCATCAGTGTGAACCAGGGCTTAAATACATAACACCACAGATTTATCCCTACATTAAAACAAGGTTGTTAAAAGAGTTAACCCATTTTAGTCATAGTTGCAACCAGCAAGAGCTTTGCAGATAAACCATGTTCATTTTCCACCATTTAGCCCATATTAAAATCAGTACAATTTTGTTTAGCTTTGTATAGATTGGGAAATGAATAGAACCCATGTCATGTTCTTTTGCTGTGTGTGGCCTATTTTCCCCTACTTAGTAATGCAGGCCATAGACGGGTCGTTTATCGGACTAATTTTCATCCACACGAAAAAATATTCACGTCGTTAGTGGGGCAATGTTGTCAGCAATGTTTTTATCGGTCATGCTGGAAAATTCACGAAAAACTACCGTTTTTTTCGTAGACATTGGTGGCAGCATCGGCAACAGCAACGACCGATTTTTTTATACGGCCCGTCTATGACCAGCCTTAGAGGTACAAAATGGCAATAAATAATAAATGGACATATAGTGGGAGGCTAAAACTACTGTAAACTTTGTACATCAGCTTTCTTTTCACATCCTGTCATAGCTACAGTGTTGTCACCTGGACTGAGAGTGAGGGGGAATCTGCACAGGAAAACTAGAATATAATGTTTTGGTTAGAAAAATACTATCAGCAATTTTATACTTTCTCACAATGCCTGAACTATTTTTCCAGGAAGCAGTGTTAATAATGGATATTGTCAAGCCTATTTCATAAGGCACAATTTTGTCCATTACTCTTTGCACCATTTTACTGAATGAGTCTATTTGAGTGAATGCATGTTATGCCTTGATCTGCTGTTCACAGCACAAGATACACGGTGAACACACTGCAAAAGATTTATATAGATTTATGCCATCCTAAACATCATTTATCCTTAGCTCTGCTTATTGGTATGGGACATTGTAACCTGTTGAACTGTATACATTATGCAGTCTTCATATACAGAACAGAGCTGCATCTGTCCTTGAGATTATGTTGCTTTCTTTGCATGGGAAATGCATCACATAATAAAAACACAAATGCATGAGGTTGGGTTCACAGTAGCCCATTCACTGAAAAGAGATCTGCTGTGAATCTTTATCATCCAGGGGCGGACTGACCATTTGGAAACTTGGGCGCTGCCTGAGGGCTCGGGGTCAGTAGGGGGCCCCATGAGATGCCCCTGGTACCTTTTTCACAGGTTTTTTTGAGTTTGGGCAAGGACACAGGGGCCCCATGATCCCCTATTGCCCGGGGGCCCCATGAGTTGTCAGTCCGCCCCTGTTATCATCATTATAAGTGCAGCTAAGCAGTCACTGTCAGGCATTCAGGAGGTGATCCTGCAGCCTCCGGAATGCCTGTGCATGTTTTTTTTTTTCCTTTTTGCTGAACAGCAAATCACAATAGGGTTAATGTGAAGCAAATGCAAACCAAGTGTTTGGCTCCTGGTTGTGGTGCTGTCCCACTGACTGGAATGGGAAAGTCTGAAAGGCGATGCTGTTTGTCAACTCGTTAAATTTCCCACAGCTGTGACACAAAGCATCATGGCTTCGCACGTAAAGAGCCACCTCCGGTTATATTTTACGCTTTAAGTGAGCAGCGGATAAACCACAGCTCAGCCTCTTGTTTTAACCCCCTCTTGGCCCCCTCCTGCGTGAAAGAGGCCTTTAAAAAGAATTTACATCTAAAAATGTAAGTGTGTATATGGCACAACAAAGAATACATTCAAACATACAAAACATAAGAATAGCATAGCTTAGCCATTAAAACATAGCTTAATTGCTGTTGGTATTATATACTGTAATAAACCGTGCATAATGATTCACTTTCTCTTGAAAAATTAATTCTCACCAAAAGAAAATGCCATTAGATATCATATAAATGAAGGTTAATGCCAAAATGGAATTTTAGGGAAACATGATGCCACTGGAGTTAACACAATTTGAGTACCTACAATTACAGTCATGATAAAAACACTGAGATTAACTCAATGAATCCATTTCTACAATAAGTAAGATCCTGAACACAGGGATAGTGAGACCTATATGATTGAAGGCGATAGCATTGTTAAGTTTTGTTTCCTAATACAAGTAATGTAATTGTGGTTACTCACACCAGCTTTTCCCATTTCTTCCTAATACTTCCTTTTTCTCTGGATTCCATATATACTGTTTAAAGTCTTGTGCCCATTCTGCCCAGGTTCTCCTCTGTTCCATTTGGTTCTGCCCCTCAGACTGTGCATATCTTCCATCCTGATTGTCCTGAAACAGTGAGAAAGAGAGTTCCTCCCATCATTACAGTATTTATTACCATGGTAATGCTAAAATAACATCCTACTGCAAGAATAAGTCAATGAAGGCACACAGTAAACGGCACTACAGAAACAACACCAATCCAAATTATTTCATTATGTTTAAAGTACAACTGAAGGCTCCTGTATGGCAGTCTAAGCAAGTCTCAAACCCATGTGATGCACAAGCAGGGCCACCATTAGAATATATGGGACAATGTAAATACTTCCTTTTATTTAGTGGTGGATGTCACACTGATAGATCACAGTAATGACCTTAACTTTGTAATGGAATACTTCTTCTGTCTGTGTGTGCACCTCTGTTCAAGGTTTTACTGGAATCTGATCTATATCTGTGGAATATCTTTTTGATGTTGACTTTTGATCTTTGACTGTTGATGTCTACTGATTGTACATTGTCTACCAATCCATTTCTAGGTACTTTCCCATTTATCTCTGTCAGTTTTGTGTAAAAACATTTCTGGAAAACTAAAAAAAATACTATTAAAACTAAAAGCATGGAGCTCTGTACATTCTACGTGACAAAGCCAGGGCCCATGCCCAACCCACAAACATCCAGTGGAGAAGTAGGCAGTCCAACCAATGCGCATGGAGAACTTTGAATTTGACAAAATTGTAGTGGGATGGGTTTAAAATTTGACTTTATGTACAGAGCTCAGGGGTCAGAAGTATGTAACAGAGTGCGGGGATCAGGAGTATGTATCATACAAAGTACAGGGGTAACATACATAGTGCAGGGGTCAGTAATATGTAATGTATAGATTGCAGGGGCCAGAAGTGAGAAATGTGCATATTCCAGGAGTCAGGAGTGGGTAATGCACAGAGTGAATGGGTCAAGGGTATATACTGTACAGTGTGAAGGGGTTGGCTGTGGGTAACATACATAGTTCAGGGGTCAGAAGTGTTTAATGTACAGAGTGCAGTTGTAAAGAGGGGATAATATACTAAAACTGGAGAGTGCAAAATCAGGTGCAGTTCTGCATGGTAGCCAATCAGCATTTAACTTCAGCTTGTTCAATTAAGCTTTGACAAAAATATCTGGAAGCTGACTGGTTTCTGTGCAGGACTGCACCAGATTTTGGCACTTTCGAGTTTTAGTACATCAATCCAATAGTTTGTGAAATAAGGAGTAGGTAACACATAGAATGCAGGGCTCAGGAGTGTGTAATGTACATAGTTCAGGGGTCAGGAGTGGTTAATGGTCAGAGTGCATGGGTCAGAGGTAGGTAATGTACATCGTCCATTGGTTTCAAGGGATAAAACTATCACATTACAAAACTCTAGTCTGGCCGCATCTTGAGTATGCTGTCCAGTTCTGGTCACCAGTCATCAGAAATGATGTGCTGTAACTGGAGAGAGTCCAGAGGGCAACAAAACTTATAAGGTAACTCGAGGACATCAGTTATGAGGAACAACTACAAGCATTAAAATTATTCTCCCTGGAGAAGAGATGCCTGAGAGGTGATATGACAGCTATATACTAATACCTCAATAATGATTCCCTCATAGGGAAAAAAATATTCAGTTTCAGGGAGCTTAAAGTGGTTGTAAAGGCTGAAGGTTTTTTACCTTCATGCATTTTATGCATGAAGGTAAAAAATCTTTTGTGTGCCGCATTGCCCCCAGCCCCCTCAATACTTACTTGAGCCTCATCGTGATCCAGTAATGTAAATGGCAGCCTTGGCTGTCCCCGGTCTCTGCCTCCTTACTGGCTGAGACAGCAAGTGGGAGCCATTGACTCCCGCTGCTGTCAGTCACAGCCAGTCAGCCAATGAGAAGAGAGAGGGTGTGGGGCTAAGCCACAGCTCTGTGTGTGAACGAACACACGGAGCAGCGGGTGTCCCCATAGTTAGCTGCATTCTGTGGGGGCACCCGACAGGAAGGAGAGGTTGGGGAGAGCCTACGGGGGAGCCGAGAAGAGGAGGAACCAGGCTGCTCTATGCAAAACCACTGTACACAGCAGGTAAATATAGCATGTTTGTTATTTTCCAAAAAAATAAAATTAACCTTTACAATCTCTTTAAGAAGACAGGCAGTCACTTAATGAAATTGAAGGAGAAGCAGTTTAACCTCAAACTGCATAGGGGGTTCTTTACTGTCAGAGTGGTAGGGATGTGGAACTCCCTTCCCCAATTGGTGGTGTCAGCGGAGCATGTCAATAGTTTCAATAAAAATGTTTAGATGGGCATCTTAGTGAACACAATATACAGGGATATGGGAAATGGTATTGTCATAAATACACACACATCTGTACCCACACAGGTTGAACTGAATGGACTGATGTCTTTATTCAACCTTGCTAAATATGTATGTCGATAGTGGGTAATGCATGGAGTCAGGAGTGTGTAATGTATGTAGATCAGGGATCAGGAGTGGGTAATGTATGTAGATCAGGGATCAGGAGTGGGTAATGTTTAGCATTCAGGACTACCTAATTTACAATGTGTAAGGATCAAGAGTGGGTAACATACAGAGCATATTGGTCAAGAGTATGTAACATAGAGTGCAGATATCAGGAGTGGGTAACGCATAGAGTGCAGGGGTCAGGAGTGCGTAATATATTCTGTCATTGGCTGTAAGTGATAAGGGTTGCTACATAGTATTATCTTTCTTGCCTCATAAAATAATTACAGCAGTGCATCCCCCTCCCCGAAAGCCCCCCTCCCCATGTTGAGAGCATGTGGTCTGGTATGGTTCAGGAGGGAAGCGGGCACTTGCTCATTTCCCCCTTTCCTTGCCTGCTGAGATGTGTGTTCGGACAAGGGTCTGATATGGATTTTGGGGGGACCCCACAACATTTTAAAACAGATTTTAGTGTTTTTGTTTACATTCTGCTGTCAGCGGGGAATCCCATTGACAGCAGATGAGTCAGGGTTGTTAACAATGCAAAAGCGGTTGCCCACTCCTTGACAATCACAGCTATTCACAAGGAATGTGGATCTGTCCAAATGCATACCAGGTGGATTAGAAAGCTTTCTGAATCCATCCTCTAAAACAAATAAACAAAATGAATCCTGGAAACTAAAAGGACCAACACAATTGCTAAATTAACAAAAAAAGACAAAAAACTTTGAAGGTAAAACACGTTTTTTCTTTGTTTCTGTTATAAAAGTTTACAAATAAATAATTGTTCTTCATAAATTTAGGCCAAGATGTATTCTGCTACATGTCTTTGGTGAAAATAACCCAAATTAGGATGTATTTTTTAGTTTGTAGGAAAGTTATAGAGTTCACAAACTATGGTATATACAGTTGCAAGAAAAAGTATGTGAACCCCTTGGGATTACGTGGAGTTTTGCATGAATTGGGCATAAAATGTGCTCTGAATGTCATCTAAGTCACAACAATAGAAGAACACAGTCTGCTGAACATAATACTACACAAACATTAGATGTTGCCATGGTTTAATTGCAGATAACATGTAAACATTCACAGTGCAGGGAGGAAAAAGTGACATAGTAACATTGTACTACTTTGGGGAAGTGATCAATATTTATTTTTTTTTTACACAATTTGCTTATAGCAAAAAATTACTTTGCTATAAGCAATCATTTACCTGAATGACATTGATTAATTCAGGGTTTTTTTTTTTTTTTTTTTTTTTGTGCTTAGCTGTGATTTGGCCACAGCTAATCACATGACATGTGCATGTGATCGCTGTGACCATTCACAGCTAGACACTAGTATACAATGGATGGCATGAATAAAGCCATCCATTGTATACAACTGTCATGTGACTTGCTGTGATTGGTCACAGCAGGTCACATGGTACCGGCAACGGGGGCCGGTACTCAGATCTGTCATCGGCCGTGTCCGAGGTACACGGCCATTGACAGATCGCGCCGCTGCGCGGCTCTGCAAGCACGAAAACTGCGCATGTGTGGAAGGACGCCGGAAATCTAGTGCATTTTTGCGGCCGCCAAGCGGCCATTGGGCGGGCGGCAAATGGTTAACTAATGACACCACATAGCTTTTAATTCACTTCCTGGTTATCTCCAGCCTAGACTATTGCAACTCCCTCCCTATTGGATTAACTTTACATTGACTATCCTCTCTTCAGTTCATCCTGAAAGCTGCTGCCGGACTCATCCACCTTACCAATGTGTCTGCTACCCCTCACAGCCAATCTCTTCATTGGCTTCTGCTCATCCATCAAATACATTTCAAAATACTAAAAACAACTTACAAAGCCATCCACAACTCGACCCAGCTACATCGCTAATCTAGTATCAAAATATGAACCAAATCATTCTCCCAAGACCTCCTGCTCTCTAGCACCCATGTCACCTTCCCCCTTGCTCACCTCCAGGACTTCTCCGAAGCCTCTCACTTCCTAAGAAATTCCCTACCCCAATCTGTCCAACTATCTCCTACCAGGGTTGGATCTAGCCTGTCCAATGTGAGGGTGCAGTAAAAAATTTCAGGGGGGCAGAGGGCAGGGGTCACTGCTGGCTGGGCAGAAGGCAGGAGCACAGCTCCTTCTCCCATCACTGTACTGCACACAGCCTGGGCACAGGCAACATAGTTTCTCCTCCCCACACAATGCATAACTGTGATCAGTATAGTGTCAGTCAAGGACAGTTTAGTTTCAGGCTAGGGCAGTATAGTATCAGATTAGGGTGGTATAGTGTCAGATTAGGGCAGTATAGTATCAGATTAGGGTGGTATAGTGTCAGATTAGGGCAGCATAGTGGCAGGTTAGGGTAGTATAGTGGCAGGTTAGGGTTGTGTAGTGGCAGGTTAGGGTTGGCTTTGGGGGGCACAATTAAAATCTGAGGGGGCATAGCCCACTCTAGCACCCCCTGGATCCAGGCATGTCTCCTACTCTGTCCACTTTTAGGTGATCTCTAAAAACCCTTCTCTTTAGAGAAGCCTATCCTGGCTCCATCTAACAACTGTAACTGTTAAGTTCTCCATCAGCTCATCCCCCACAGTTATTACCTTTTGTATC